CCTAAACCATGACCCCTAAACCCTAAGGGGGCTTTAGAACTTTAGAGCGTTTGGGGGTTCGGGGCGTTCTGGTGTCTCCTTCCTGCCTTGGGGCTTTGAGGCTGTTGGGCTTCCGGCCTTCCGCGCCGGCTCCAGGACTGCAGCTTAGGGCTTTGAGGGCGCTAGGGTTTAGGGTTTGGTGTGTTTTGGGGCTTTCGGCGTTTAGGGCACTTAGGGTCGAAGGTCTAGGGCAGAAATCCGACACTCGAAGCCTTGCCGAGCATGGTGCGGGCTTCAGGGTTTAGTTTAGGGGTTTAGGGTTTAGGGTTTAGGTTAGGAGGTTACTAGGGGTACGTAATGGGTTTAGGGTTTGGGGTTTGGGGTTTAGAGCTGGTTTACTTTCGTCGTTAACCATGAGCACTGTAAAGCTCCAAAGCCAGCAATCCTAAGCGCGGCTCACTGAAACCATTATAGCCCGAATATGGTGGTCTTCATGATTGGAATAAATAGGGCTTGGTGGCTTAAAGTGCAACTACATATGGAATATAAAGGAATGATACATCTCAATGGAAGTGTACTTCTATCTTACACCTTGCGCGTGCTTTGCCCAATGCATGGTCCTCCAGTCAAAGCTGCGGTAGAAGTGCATGAACTCTTTGAGCAGCTGTGAAGTGGGTTCTGAGCAGCGATCGTTGTGGCTTTTTTGGGTTTGGGGTTTACCCCCACCCTAAACCTCAACCCTAGACCCTAAACCCTCAACCCTAAACCTTAAATCCTAAACCCTAAACCCCAAACCCTAAACCCCAAACCCTAAAGCCTAAACGGTTCAAGCCTGGGGGGCTCCAGGTGGTGCGCAGCAATGTGATCCGTCTAAGGCTCGGATTTCGGTGTTACGCGGTGGACTTTAGGGTTTAGGGTTTAGGGTTTAGGGTTTAGGGTGGGTTTAGCGTTTAGGGTTTAGGGCACACCTAATTAGAACCTGAACCCCGACACCATCGTTGCTACCGCAAACTTTACCAATTATCGCTACCATCTTTGTCCATAGCATACCCTGTGATGACCACGGAATACAAAGCATGGCCATGGAAAAACTCGATGAAAAGCTGAAGCCACGCAGCCCTACACCCCCAAAAATCCGAGCCCTTTTGCCTTAGACTCAAGGCCCTGAAACTGAAAGCCTGAACAAATGACAAACCCTAAACCCATGAGAAGAAGACACCCGCCGGCCTGTGCTCGACTTTGGGGAAGGGCGGGGACCTCGCTGAAGCCCTGGCGGCCTCGCACGAGACGGCTGGAAAACGGGGCAGGTTCGTGGAACTTTGAAGTGTCGAGCTGAGGTTTCCAAGGTTTTGGGTTCAGGTAAAGGCTGTGGGCTTAGAGCTTAGGGCTTGGGGCTTAGGGCTTAGGGCTTAGGGCTTAGGGCTTAGGGCTTAGGGCTTTGGGTTTAGGGTTTAGGGTTTGGGGTTTGGGGTTTGGGGTTTGGCGCGGCGGGTCTGGGACCAGGGTTTGGAACATTTTGGCTTACGACAAAACCCGACAGCCCCGACCTAGAGACCCCGAAACCCCATCGCCCCATCAAACATAGACCCCAAAAGCATCAAAAGCCAAGACATCTCACCAAAACTCCCCTCAGACCCCCTGAACCCCAATCCTTCCCAGGTTCTCCCCGAACCCTCAACCCTAAACCTGAACCCTAAACCCGAAACCCGAAACCCTAAACCCTAAACCCTAAACCCTAAACCCTAAACCTGAACCCTAAGCCTGAACCCTAAACCCTAAACCCCAAACCCCCAAAACCCTGAACCCTAAACCCTGAACCGATCCTTTCGACGACAGCTCAGTGGCCTCCAGATTCAATCTCGGTGTTTGTTGTTTACA